GTTTGTCCTTTATGTAAAATTATGTGTTTCTTGACCTATTTTTTAAAAATTTATTTGTTGTTGGGTCATGTGCATTTTGAGGTCGTGTCAGTGTTTACGTGCTTATACCTGTTGATGCGTTCTTGGGAAATTCGGATAATAAAAATATTTCATTTTTATTTATTAATTGAAAGCCAGCTCTGGGCGATGTTCCTGCTTTTTCACTATGTGATTTTGAAGATGCAAGTGTTTGTAACTTCGTACAAGATAGAACGGACGACATTGATTGGACAAGAAGATCTGGAAGGACACCTTCATCTAATACTGGCCCTTCATATGACCACACATACGGAACTTTACAAGGTAACGGAAATCAATAACTGAATTTATGTTTATTGTAAAATTGTAAATTAATTTTGAATATGAATAGAAAATACTAACAAAAAAAATCAATTAAATTATAAAACAAATCAACTTATCAAATTATACCTATATGAACCAACTACATTGATATCATTCTTAAGTCTCATCTTCAATCTAGTTGACAATTAGGCCTATATAGAAAACACTAGAGCAGTCACTTCATAGAGTGCATACGTCCGCCCTTTATGAATACCCACAATACACAGGCCGAGTTCGATGGAGAACCTGCAGCATCATCATGTAATCGCTAGTCGCATTAGGGCACATTGCTCTTTCCGCTAGGCAAGATTAATAAACATCTAATGAATAAATCATCATAAAATTTAGTGGAATGGAAAAATACAGCCTAAGGAAGGCACCATTCAAAAACGAAAGTAATACAATCGACCCCCAGACATCACCAGAATGCGACGAACGATTTAAATATTTTAATGAGGGTATGCAGTAGTTTTGTCGAATGTAGGCAAGAATGGCCCCGGAAAAATGGCCCCGGAAAAAATGTCCCCGGAAAAAATGGCCCCATATGACAGGTAGGTAAAAATGGCCCCAATGAAAAATTCGGTAATAGAAAGTATATATATATTTTTTAATCTTCAAATATTTAAATACTGTATAAGCAAGAATTGAATCAAGAAATAAAATTATCAAGAAATCAATTAGAAAATTCAACAAAAAATAAATAAATAAATAAATTTTGTAAAATACCTTGTAACAAAAATTTAATTAATAAATCAACATAAAGAATATGCATATTTGAGAACTAAAATAAATTAGTTTTTAGCTCCTATGAGTAGCTCTGGGAGTAGGTCTAAGTATTTTTTAAAATTATTAATATTATTAGATATTATTACTATATTTGCGGCCAATTATTAATATTATTATTATTAATAATGGCTCTGATGGGTCGCTCTAAAACATTGATTCGGCACCAGTTTTGAACGACGAACTTCTGAATCTGAAGTATTAGCAGTAATTCATGATATAGATACTAACAAAGGTGCTGGCTATGACCACTTATCTCCTAGGACCCTAAAATGTGTATCTCAAATCATCATTACACAACTAACATTCGCCATTAACTCATCTTTTTCATCTGGTACAGTTCCAAATACTTTAAAAATGGCCAAAGTCATTCCCGTATTTAAGAAAGGCGACACTGATTCACTATCAAATTATAGACCAATATCCATTCTACCTATCTTTTCAAAAATAGTTGAAAAACTTATGCATAAAAGACTATCTAATTATTTAAATCAATTTAACATCTTAAATGACCATCAATATAGATTTCGTCAGAATCACTCAACCTGTCATGCAATACTTGAACTCGTTAATAACATTACTAAATCATTTGAAAATAAACGATTTCTATTAAGTTTATTTTTAGATTTATCAAAAGCTTTTGATGTTGTTAATCACGAAATTTTAATTTCAAAACTTTTTAGATATGGTATTAGAGGTATTGCTTTAAAGTGGTTTATAAGTTATTTGAATAATCGTAAACAATTTGTTTCTGTTGGATCATGTATATCATCGACGAGGGATGTAACTTGTGGGGTGCCACAAGGGTCGGTCTTGGGACCGTTACTTTTCATAATATATGTTAATGACTTGTGTAGAATTAGTGACACCCTCCAGTTGGTGTCCTTCCCGATGATACTACGTTTTTTACGTTTTTTTATTCTAATGAAGACCTCAATGTTTTGTTCAATACGTTTAATAATGAGTTTTAAAAAATTGGTTCCTGGTTCAATGCAAATAAGCTCCTAATTAATATTCAAAA